ATTAAGAGAATTATAAATTATATCCATGAAAGCCTGTGTAGGAGTGAACCCCTCAATCTATTAAAGGCATATATTGTATACATGGAGCACTGTGATCAACCAACACCCCTGAAAGGGATAAGGCATTGATAGGTTACAATTCTCTGCCAAAAAAGAAGCATTTTTTGAAGCTAAGACCCCCAACTGCTCCTGTTATAGAGTCTTTGAAGGCTCAGCTAAAGTGTTATGTGGGCTTCAGAGAACGAGTTAGTCACTGTTTCATTAGGGATCTATTTGAACCTTGCAACATGTGGTAATTTCTGGGGCATGCTGAAAAGGAAAGATTATTCAGGAGGGACACAAGGAGAATCAGCTAACGGTTAATTTAACTCGTTTTCTGCTAGACTTTTCGATACATTCCTAATTGACTGAGGTGGCAGGTGTAGTGTGAGTCTCATGCAGGCTCATTCAATATGGGAATAAATGGCTTCTTTTTCATCTCACACTGCTCACAATATATCATCAGGGAAAAGACATGCAATGAATATGTTGATTTTTTTTATATTAATTGAATTACTCCCTATGTTGCAGGTGTGAGATTCAGTGCTAAAGGGGGAAAAGAAATCTGCATTGGAAGAGTATTAAGAGCACAATGAACGTTCTATTAGCTTGATGTGGCAGATCTAGATTTAAACTGTCAAAACAGCCAGGGATATTTTTTCATGCCCAGAGCCTCCCATCATTTGAGGATATTAGTTAGTCATCCAAATAGTGATTAGCAGCAATCATCTCTGCCTATCAGTTTATCATCATTATCAAAAGCCCATTTTACTGCAAAACCAGCTATGTTATGAATATCTAATAATGATTCATTTCAGACTATTTTAAAACATTTCAATGAGATAGATAGATGTGTCTGTAATTGAAATGATAGATAGAGAGAGAGAGAGAGAGAGATAGATAGATAGATAGATAGATAGAAATAGAAAAATGAGACAGATGGAGAGATGTTATGAATATCTAGTAATGATTATTATTTTAAAACATTTCAATTAGATAGATAAATGTGTAAGTAATGGATTTATTTATATATATATAGATAGATAAATAGAGAGATAGATAGATAAATAGAGAGAGCTAGAGATAGATAGATAGATAGATAGATAGACAGATAGATAGATAAATAGATCGATCGATCGATCGATAGATAGATAGATAGATAGATTTTAGATAGATAGAGATAGAAAAATTAGACAGATGGAGAGATGTTATGAATATCTAATAATGATTATTATTTTAAAACATTTCAATGAGATAGATAAATATGTATTTATTGGAAATGAAGTAAATAAATTCCTGATAGAAAGATTGTATAATTAATAGAAAGAAAAATAGATTGTAGAAAAAATATGATATATAGATAGAAAAAATAGATGATAGATGATAGCTAGATAGATAGATAGATAGAAAGATAGATAGAAAGATAGATAAATAGATAGATAGATAGATAGATAGATAGATAGAAAGATAGATAGAAAGATAGATAAATAGATAGATAGATACATAGATAGATAGTTAGGTAGATAGCTAGATAGATAGATAGATAGATAGATAAATAGATAGATAGATAGATAGATAGATAGAAAGATAGATAGATAAATAGATAGATAGATAGATAGATAGAAAGATAGATAAATAGATAGATAGCTAGATAGCTAGCTAGCTAGCTAGATAGATAGATAGATAGATAGATAGATAGATAGAAAGATAGATAGATAGATAGATGAAGAGAGACAGATGGAAAGATAATGTGTATGTACATATAGAATAGTTCAGTTTCGATATCTATTCTCAGCTATCTTTACACCTTAATAATAGTGCACATATGTAATATTACAAACGATAACATTGCACAATTGCCATAACACTAGGAGTGGGATATCACCAAACCGCTTGGACAATCATTGCAGCTGCAAAGCCACCTGATATAATGTCTTTCTTTCTGATATATTGCCCTCCGTACAGGGATGATGTATGCAAATGCCCTGGTACCAGCAAGCAGATATACACCCTCAGGTCCTGGGACGCTTCCATGCATGATCCTATAGAAAATCACAGTGTTCTACATAACAAAGCATAATTAAGCTTCCCATTGAAGGCATCAGCAGCTGGTTATCCACTGGGAATGAAAGTGGGAGGAAACACGAATATATTAATTTGGGAGTAAAAGTTTCTGTTTTTTTGTCCTTTATTGGAAGTAAGGGTGAGAATGGGTAAAGGGGTGGAATGGATCAGTGATGGTGCGGGGTGAATAAAAGGGATTCAGATAGACTTTTTTTTCGATGTCTGCCACCTGAATGATATTTGCTCTTCCACTTCCAAAGAGATACTTGTCATGGATCAAGAGTTTATTTGTATCCATTTGACCTTCTGGATCAGGAGGGGAGTGAGCTGTAAGCAGAGAGCGCTGATGCTAGAATGACGCGTTGGGCTGACGCGTGTCTGTCCTTGCTCTCTCTGTTCTGTACAGAATCCAGGCAGAGGCCCGGGTCATCACACAGCAGGGCTATGATCTCTTTGTGGCCCTCCCTAGATGTGTCTGCTCTGGAGAGGTCACACAGGGCTCTCTGGCCCTTATGTCTGCAGCTGGGCAAGTGATGAGCAGCAATCAAATCATTTCACAGCAGCCTAGAAACCCCACACATTATCCACCCTAATGGTTGCAGGTTAACAAATAAACAGCCTGAATGCCACTTGGCCATTGTCACAGCTCCATTCACAGGCACTGGGGTGTGAGACATACAGTATTCAAAGCCATCTAGTTAAAATGTGTAACAATTTTTCTACAAATCTGCAGGAAGTAAAGCATAAAACCTATGGCAAAAAAAAAACAATTCTCAGCTGAAAGCGCTATTTATAAAGTTCATTTAATTCTTGTCAAGATGCAGTATGACTGGGGACATGAATATACTGCCATTGATGTTTCCAGGGAAGCCTGCAGAGAGGTGTCAGACTCAGTAATTTAGCCAATTAAAGTAACCACCTAAAGAATAGGATTTAATCCTGTGCTATATGTACAATGATACAGTGATGCTTGGGGTACCTTTAAGAGCTTTGTGAAACTATCCTGAGTTTTCACTATACTGGGGTTTTAAATTTGTTTTGGGGGGGATTCAAAGTAAATTTAAATTATAGGCCAAAATAGCCAAGCTGAAACTTAGATGAGTTATTGAAAATATCCAGTTCAGCTTTTTTGGCCTAAAATATTAAGTTAATGTTGAATTGTCAGTTGTTCACAATTAGATAATATCCTCTGTAAATTGAACTTTAATGACATGTCAGAGGCTTCTGCAGAGTCTAACAAGCTAGTATAAAGCAGGAGATAAGAAATTCTAAATTAAACAGAATTTGAAATAAAGGAAGTGCAAACATTAGATGACTCTTTACAGGAAGTGTTTAGGAAGGCTGTGTAAGTCACATGCAAGGAGGTGTGACTAGGGCTGCATAAACAAAGTGATATAACTCCTTAATTAGCAGAGAATTGAACAGTGATACTGCAGGGGCATAATTTATACACCAAAACCTCTTCATTAAGCTAAAGTTATTTTGGTTATTATTTACTATAGTTGGTTATTATTTATGGTTTATTATTAACTATAGTGTCCCTTTAAATACATACATAAGTAAAAATACTTTTTTTTGTCCCATATTGGAATAATTTGGACTACTTTTGTGTTAAGCTGCTCGTAAATGGTTTAACCTCTTAAGGTAAGCTATACCCAGGACCTCCAGACATTATAACAACTTCATGGAGATGGTGCCCTGAGTGTTCCTTTACAAATGGTCTCTGTTGACTTCCCTCACTGCTTGAAGCTGTCATGGTAAAGCAGAAGCTTCCGCATCATAATGTCAACTGATACCAAGTCAGCTGGTTGGTATCCCTGGATAGCTCACCCACTCATTTACCCCCTGTCCAAAGCACCCTGATTGTCCATATGGTATTCAATTGGCACACGGTTAAAGGTTTTGCTAGCTGTGGCTGATTTTCGATTGGGTGTATAGTTCCATGTGACCAGCTTTGAACCGCCAAGTCTCTCTCTGGTGTTTTACGTAGTATTTTGGCAACTGAATAGCAAGAATCGTGGGTGCTCAGATAGACTGTGCCCACTAGGTAGGAGCTGGAGCACCAGGGTTAGGCAAACATGACTTTTTAGTTATATAAAACTGTCCTCAGTAATACAAACCCATCAAAATTATCCTTCATACTCACATACTTATTCCCTTACCTTGTAAAAATGTTGTGTGTGTGAGAGGGGTTGGGTGGCGGGGGGATAGGTTGACTATTTAGTGCCAAAGTTTATGGAGAGCTACCTACACTCTGAGGATTGCTATAATCACTATACTCCCCAGAGTATAATCACTAAACTCTTGTAAGAGCTGTTCCTGCTCTCTGGACTAAGAGAGATCTGTCTACTGGAAGCTGTATCCCTGTCTTAGGTCCAGAGTGGGTGGAAGACTTTGAGATCCCAACCAAGCTGCGGCAGTTCGTGGGGTCTGTGGTGGTTATGGTGTCTAGTGGAGTGCTTGGAGCCCTCGGGAAGCACTAGGAGCATCTGTCAATGGAGGTACCCAGTCGGGGTACCAGGCGATCCGTTACAACAGTATTATAGTAAAGGTCAGTTCAAGATGGCTAAATCTGACTTTTTTTCAAACGCTTGGATATAAAATTATTGTCTCACATACTTGGCTATGAATATGGGTCATATGCAAGCACCAGTCTTCAAATAGATTCATCCAAATGGCCTCTTTCTACCAACTGTTCTTTTTGCGAATCACTTAAAAAGATGGACCTATACAGGATCCCAAGGAGATATTGACAATCCTGTCCTTTTAACTTGTGGGTAAAATGTGACTGTGCACAAACACTCATTAGCAGATAAGACAGAATCCATAAATTCTGTAGGGTTATAAATCAGTCATATTTGAGATTTGGATTCAGCTATAAAATATAAGGGATCCAAAGCTCCCTCTACCAGCAAGTTACACAATAACAGTCACATGTAGCAGGGCAGGTATACTACCTTTATATCTCAGGCATTCTCAACACACCTTCTTCACAGAAAGACTGTGATTTACAGCAGACACATTGCCGTACAGCCATGGAAAGTTGCAATGCTTTCTATGAAACTGGAATTGGTGTGTTTGACAACCAAGCAGGACAGTTCAACCAAATGCCTTCATGTCTATACAGCATACCTTGCTCTGGTCAGCAGAATTGGGAGATGACACTGGTACACACCAGAGACAATGACAAAGTAACAGATTGTTTATATGATCCGTGTTCTGTTCCATTCTATAACAGTGCACAGTCTGAGATTTCTCACTTTCTTCCTGTCACTCAAACCTCAGCAACTGTTGAAGAGGACTCTGAAAGTTGTCATTATCCTTGGATGAAATCAACTAAATTCCATCCCAGTAACATCAGTGTGAACTGGGAAGGTGAGTAACTCTTTGCTTTATGCGTTTTTATTAATGCTATTGCATGGTGGTAAAAAATATCCTGATTTTTATTGCTCAATCACTCATCTGAGAGTTTAGAAATTTTTTTTTAAAAGTTTTTAGTTCAATTTTACACTTTTTTGATGACAAACTTCTAGGCTGGGATATCCAGTGTGTTGATGTTCTACACTATGTAAATTCTGGACCTTGCATTTTTCTATAAATCACAATTATACAAGAAAATGTAAATTACATTCTTTTGAAAACGTTTCCCCACTACATTGATCCATTTAAGTATTTGCTATAATTAAATAAATACATATGGTAAATAGAGATGGATAAAACGTGTTACACAGTTTTTGTGTAATCTAAATTCAGAGAAACAAGACAATGTTTTTAAAGTGTATCTAATTTGTCTTTTTATTTTATATTCTTTTTTTTTTTTTTAAGTGCACATCTTAACAAACAGAATACATAGACGATTCCTCATGAGCATACTCAACAAACATAAGGTGGAAACATAGTACGAAATGTTATGAAATACTGCACTTTTTATATTTATGGAAACAAAACAATAGCTAACAGGTATAGCTGGCATGTCTAGATGTTTCTAGCTGGGAAGACATCTTGTCAGAGGGGAAATGCTGGATATTATGAGTGATAGACATTTATATTCTTAGGCAAGCTATCTCTAGACATGATGATAAAAGCTGACGAGTAGTGCTGGTTATGATTAAGGAAACAAGCTAGGCGACAACAGTAGTACTGACTATGCCAGGCTTTGAAAAGTGGGGTGAGTTATTCTATATTCAGGCCAGTCATGCAATAGTATTTCTACTGGTACTGAACCTAAAGCTCAAGAAAGTCGCGCATATCACTTACATAAAAACATATTGAAAAATCATTGAGCAAAATAAACAGCGTAAAACAAAATGGAATCCGGGAACCTCTTAAAGACTCAGTCACTGATAGCAGGCCTGCATTCAGTATAGACTAAAGCATTAGCCAACTCCCTTGGTTGGCATTCGTGGTCGATTTTGCAGCAGTCCACAGGTCCAAACAACAAGCGACGATATTCAAATGCTTTCCCTACAACCTGCTGTGCTCGCGGGCTTATAAAGGGAGATGGATTTCAGAGACGTTCTGCTTGGTTTGGAAGTCCCTGAGTGAGGAAAGGGAATCAGCCGATGTCCCTTTGTGAGGCAGGGTTTCCAAGTGCCGCAGATGGGTACCGTTTCCAGGCGCACTGGAGAGACAGCCTGTCAGGGCTGTGTAGTGGATAGGATCATGCGTACTCCAGTAGAGGCCCTTGTTCTGCTGGGGGGGTCAGTGCATGACAGGTGTTGATTCCGGCGCTTCTCGCCAGCATGGTGCGTTGGCCATCTCCTCTGCCGGGCGCAAATGCGGCGTGTGTGTCGAGGGTTCCCACCTCCTCCCCTGCAGCTCCTTGAGGGTACAGGAGGGCTTCTTTGCGGTTCAACTTCTTGGGCCCCCCTTGGTAACTCCAGAGGGGGATGAGCAGGTGTGTGGGTGCTCCTTTTGGTGGGACCAGCTTCTATGAACCTTTGGGCATGGTCTGCTCGTTGCCTCAGTCGTTCCCAGAAAGCTTCACAGATTGTGTCAAATGCTTCCAAGAGGCATAGGTTAGGCCTTGTATGTTTCTCAAGGTCATGTTCCTTTGCCATTTTGAGAGCCGTAGATGGGGCCCGTGGGTTTTGGTGGGGTGAACTCAGATCAGTCCCAGATGCAGGTAAGTGGCTGAGGTTGCTGGGATATCCCTTACTGACGGGGGAAGAAGACAGGGCTGCCCTCCGTGGGTCCGACTGGAGTGTGGGCTGAGGGATCGGCCATCTCTCCACTAGTCCCGCACAGCCTGGCCGCTACTAGGCCGCAGTGTTGCTTCTGCGGGTTGTCCAGCCGTGTTGGCTGTCAGAGGCGTTATCGTTGAAGTTCTGGGTGAGCTGGGAGTCAGCAGGGATGTAGTAGTCCAAGTTTGAGGTGCTTGAGCTGTCAACAAGGTTAGTATGTACAGGATTTCTCCCAGAGCTCATGCGATGTGCAACCGTTCGCCATGCTGGGCAAGCCCTGCCCCCCAAACAAGACAATTTTTATTTGTATTTGTACTGCACTCTGGATAGTTTAAAAGTTGCAAGAGCAACAGAGAAAAAAACATGACCATTTTATCTTAAAGAGCTACAAAGAACCTAAAATGCACTTGTTTAGATTGGTGGTTCCCATCATTTTCTGGTTTTCTCCACTTTTCCACTTCTATGAGAGACAAATTTCCAAGTGACATCATTTTGAGAAAGGTTTCTATTTTTTTCCATTTTATCTTCAACAGCAGTTTATAAATGTCACATCTACTTTGAGACCTTATGACTACTAATAACCAATCTGCTGAGTGCCTTCAGCCTGTTACAGTCACGAAGTCAATATGTTCGTGGCACACTTTGAGGTGGCTTGAGATACAGAAAAAAATCTAAATAACGCCACTGCAGTGCTCGAAGTCCACAGGAGGTTTAATAGGCACAAAACAAAAGGTAACAAACAAGGGGAAATGTCACACTAAACACCTAAGGCGTTTCAGACCCACAGGTCTAAGGACAGTCTAAAGACCTGTAGGTCCGGAACGTTTTAGGTGTTTGGTGTGACCTTTCTCCCTGTTTGTTACCTTTCGTTTTGTGAATATTTTTTGAGATTTTGAGAGCTGGCAGTGGCCTCATTTCTATTTTTTTTTTTCTTCACAGGATTTGGAGTTCCTATGCTGGACAACCTGTCTTCCATTTGGGAAAGTGGGAGTTTTGTGTTCCCATTACCTTTATGGTTTTTCATTTATGCTCAGCTACTTATGTTAGTGGCATTTTGGATGCTTCCAAGTTTTTTCAAAATGTGCCACAGCACTCTGCATGAAAACCACTGGTTCTAATCATTGTACTGCAATTTTACACCTTGCGTTTATGACCTTTATTGCAGTTATATACGTAGGTCCCTAATTTATTTTTTATAGCAATGGAAGAAACCTTCATAACAAACCTCTTTTTCCGTCTTTGTTTATCTCTCCCTTCTGTATATACATTGTAACATATATTTAAAGGGACCCTCAGCTGATGCTCTAGGCCCATCAGTGGCGCCCCTGCCTGGCGGCTCCCTGCGCTTCCTGAAACTGAGATTTAGAAGCTGTATGCCCTCTGGGGAATCTGCAGATCAGTGCTAGAGACAATTTTGGGTTAAACCATTCAAGAACTGTTTAACCCCTTAACGTAGGATTGTACCTGGACCAATGACACTAAAAACAACTTAATTTAAATGAAGTTGTTATGGTGACTGTAGTGTCCCTTTAAGCATACTGTTAAGAGTCAAACTTAAATATTTATTGTGTAACATGAGCTATGCCCTTTTCATTTACATACACAAGAGGAAGAACAATGAATAGGGGAGTGGAAAAATTCATAGGCATGATGCCTGTATCTGTAGAAAACATGGGAAAACTGTAAAATAGGAAGGCAGGAGACTGAAATATGCTAAGAACCACTAATTATGTGACAAGAAATAGGGAAAAGAAGTGGAATTATCCTGCATAATGATATGTTTTCCTGAAGATATTGGTTTTGATAGACTTCTGAGTCTGAGGTCTAGAGGTTGGGGAAAAATCTATTAGGAAAGGCTAGTGTATATTTAAAGGAATGATGTGGTCCTTGAGATATACCATCAATGGAGAAACTGCAGTTGGAGGCAGTGTTATGCTGTGCGCAATGTTCAGCAAGACCTTGGGTCCTGGCATTCATGTGGATATTACTTTGACTTGTACCACCTACCTAGAGAGTGTTGTAGACCACAAATACCCCTTCATGACAATGGTGTTCCATGATGGCAATGGCTATTCAGCAGGATAATGCACCCTGCCACAGTGCAAATTGTTCAGGAATGGTTTGAGGAATACAAGAGCGTATAGACGATGAATGTCGTTCCTGCAATCATTCAGTATTGAACTCCAGAAGTTCTTATAGTGGCTATCCAAATGACAACTGCAAGAGGTGGGCTTAGGCAGAAGCGATTACAATGCTCAACCATGAGGGACAGGCTCTTTGCCCCAGCCAGAACCTCTATATGAAGCTGTATTGGTTTTTGTGCCTATATTGTCCCTTCACCAGGAACAGATAGCTCATGACCCTAATCATGAGAACAAAAGGGGGAAGGGCCACTGAGCAGGTCCCTTCTTAATGATATGGGATATGGAATCTGATGCCCTTGCTAATTTCAGACACCCCTGAGAAACTAAAGAGGTTTCTCAAGGGATAATATTATGTATCCCAGTTCCAAAATCAGGTTGACAGGCAATAAAAGGGACAGGCATGTATAGGTTCATCTGTTTGGATAATTCCCCATTGCACAGCCACACTTCTATGTAAAAAACACATTGCACAGACCAGGCATTTTAATAGAGGGTATTGGGAATCCTATTACTTTATTTTAACCTTTGTTCGTTTATTTACACAGTTTGGGACTAATTTAAAATTATTTTAGACTTCTGTGACTAACGATTTCTGAGTTAAAGGACCACTATAGTGCCAGGAAAACATACTCGTCCCACTGCCGCCGGGCTGGATGGAGAGGAAGGGGTTAAACACTTACCTTTCTCCAGCGCCGAGCTCCCTTGGCGCTGGAGACTCTCCTCCTCCTTTCCCCGTCATCGGCTGAATGCGCATGCGCAGCAGGAGCCGTGCGCGCATTCAGCCAGTCTCATAGGAAAGCATTCTCAATGCTTTCCTATTGACGTTGGCGTCTTCTCACTGTGAAAATCACAGTGAGAAGCGCGGAAGCGCCTTTAGCGGCTGTCAATGAGACAGCCACTAGAGGCTGGATTAACCCTATGTTAACATAGCAGTTTCTCTGAAACTGCTATGTTTACAGCAGAAAGGGTTAATTCTAGATGGACCTGGCACCCAGACCCCTTCATTAAGCTGAAGTGGTCTGGGTGCCTATAGTGGTCCTTTAACTGGCCTCATATTGAGGTTCTTTTTAATAATGTGTAGCCTTTTTAAATAAACTAATAGGGGCCCCACATCAGAGGTCATTTGTATATATCCAAGTTGAATCTGCAAATGTGAATGGATAGTAGGTTTTGTGAATTTGTTTAAGTTGTATCTAAATTATTCCTTTTTATTTTGATTAATTTTCATAGAGCAGATCTGACACATTTTATTATTATTGCAAAAAAAGTCACCGATCACACTACTAATTGTAAAGAAAAAAAATATAAAAAACAATTAAAAAAATATATTTAAAGCAGTACAAAGTCTTTGTTTATGCAACATTTCTTTATGTGATTTAATCATGTTTTATGTCCTTTTAATATGCGTTGTGTAAGGCGACTACTTTCCTTTCATGTGCCCCGATTATCACATGTTTGTAAAATAACGTTCTAGTCAAACACAGGGTTATATTGTTTAGTGTAACATTTGGTTGGTTTCATATACGTATCAATCAGCATGCAATTCTATTTTAATTGTTGGTTTCTAGAAACTATGTCATATGGCAGAAGTTAAAGCTCTTATCTCCCCAGCCCCGTTCAGTAAATGTTTTCAAAAGCTTATTATACTCACAAGGAATATCTACGTCTGATAACGCAAAATCAATTTTAAACTGTTGGAATGCTTTAATCTGTAGCTTAATATATTTCAGATAACAGCCCATTATATTCTCATTTGAAAAGGGGAAATAATGGTATAAGACCTAAGTGTGGGAAATTGGTCTAAATGAAACAAGTGGGAGTCAGGGAGGTTTACAATGCATTAGGGCATTGTAGAGTAAAAACTTTGGTGGTCAATGGCAGAAATGGACAAATACAGACTTCCAGCTGTTAGTGAACTGCAAGCTCCATAAGACGTCCCCAAAAACACAGCAAGTGTCTGGCCGAGGTATGGAGCCCATTCAATTTGATAATAGGGCTCCTGAGAATGACATTGATGGTTTCAGCTGAGTTCTCGCCCCTTATGACTGTGTAGTATACCAATCATATATCTACATCACTGCTTCGTTATAAGACGGATTCATGCTAAACACTTGGTAAAAATTTTTTAATTAGAGCTGTGGCGCACATGATGGGGTTAATGTATAAATGTCAAATTTTTGTTTTTCTAAACTTGTGACAAATAGAAAGATTGGAGTTATTTTAGAATATTCAGATCATGTAATATTCTCTAGGGGTTTCACTAAATCATCAATTATATATGAAATATGCTTAACCACTTCTGAATTGATCTGAATTGGAGAACATCCAAATTCATGCAAAATAGTGTAATATTCTCCAAAAGTGCTCTATCATGGGACACACTAGCTACCAAATTATGTGGGACTGAAATTCTTAGAAATTAGTCCTGGATTGTAAAATTAAGTGAGCCAGTTTTCAGTACGTGCATTCAGATGCAAAAACAGTGAAAATGACTAAATAATTATTAATTACAAGGAAGTCCAGGGGTAGCTTGGATGTTATATGTGGCAATGAGAGCATTAAGAAAAATGGGTGGGTTAGTGGCAATGTAACCACTTGTAACCACTTTGGCCTGCATGATAGGTCAATGTGGACAATTTCCCATCCGATGTGTAGAGGGTGACAACCTTAGCAAACCCTCTATCAACTATGGAGACCTGATCAGGCCCCCTATCTGCTCATTCATAAATTGTTTATTAATATTTATTACCAGGGTTCTAGTGCCTATCAACCAGTAGGCATCCTACTATTTGAAGACCATTTGTGGAATGGGGTATGATTTTAATTTATGGAGTAGGTTGGCTATCCAGTTAAAGTTACCATAAAACAAGACTTCATAAAAAAATTACTTTGGATTATCCATGCAAAATCTAAGCTATATCTCCACCGATGTGCTCTAACTAGAGGAAAACCTTCCAAAAACAGATGTTATGTTTTTTTATAAGGTTTTATTTTTATCTTGTTAGGGAAGGCCAGTAAGAAGTAGATGTAGAGATATTGAGAGACTAGGAGAGGGCATTACTTTTTTAATGTAGCTGGTAAGGTGTTTACCCCCAGTCCCTTGACCTTATAAAAGTACTTATCTATGGGAGGTGGAATAAGTGTCCACCAGAGCAGTCATGTTTATACTTAGCTGAGCTCTTTAATTACTCTTTTAAATACTAATTCACAACTGCTTCTGATCATTGCCAAAATAGTTACAATTTCAAAATATAGGAGAACATCTCTACTTGAAGCCTAAACTTAAAATGGCTAAGGGAGCCAGACTATAAAGGCAGTGTAGAGGACCTCAGCAGGCAGTATAGAGGCCCTCTTAGTTTTAAGCCCAGAAACTGGAGCTTAGATAGAGAAGTGTAATATTTCAACCACCAGAGGACCACTTAAGAAAAACACAAAACTTAAGCTCAACCACACTCAACACTAGGATATGAGAACTCTGCACTTTAACAGGCAGTTGGGAATGACACAGTCGAATTCCACCATACTGTGGGAAAATGCATGTTTTGTTCCATCACCTACAGACCTCTCATTCTGACTCACTATGAGGGTCAATTTACTCAATGACAAAGCCAAGAGAAAAAAAAAATGGTATTTGGCAGAATCTAGTCCTACTGAAGAACACCCCCACATTATAAGGATGTTACATATCTCTCTGCTTTGAACCATGTAAGCCAAGAGCGTACTACAGGGTTAAAAGTTACCCTGAGCTTCTGGCCCCCTACCAAAATTATGCATCTTCAATAGGAAGGTACATCAACACTATGAACTATCTCATCTCAGGACCAGTGTAGACTTATTCTGCAGTGGCAAGAATCAGTTGGACCCTGGTCAAAATATCTAATTCTTTACTCGTCAAAAATGACATTTCCCTTTTAATGGTAACCTTTCCTAAAATCTCATTACAATTATGTTTGTTTTTTCTATTACAGAACCTGTAATGTGATTTGTTTTAGAGAAACATCCTTTGCAGATGACTGAAACAAAAATGGGTTGTTTAGGAAAGTACCCAGAGCTCCATGGGTGGAAATGTTTAATTAAAAATATTTATAGAAACCTCTAAGAAAAAACATGAATAATTAGAAAAAAACAATAATACAAATAATATTTAGCTTCTTTAATTATTTCCATGGCAAAGTTCCCCAGAATATATTTTGCCTTGTGGTTGAGAACAGTAACCTTGCTTTCTATTGGTTATAGTGAAACTGGGATATGCCATCTGCAGTCCCAAGTCTGGTTAAAGTCAACAAATCATTGGCGAGGGGCTTTAGGTGCAGGGAGGAGCCTCTGAAAGCTCTTTCTGCCATAACTTCTTCAGTAAGCTGTTGTGGTTATAATGGCTAAATTGTCACTTTAATACATAATATTTGACTGTGTAGCTTACAGGGACTGTGTTTGCCTTCTCCATCAGCCCTTATGTTAATCCAGACCTGTAAACTCCTTGTTCTGTATATGCCCCCTTCCTTATAGATAGAAAAAGTCACTACCTTGAGACTGTTATCTGACAACCCGAGTTTCCTGTAATATACTGGATACTCCTATGGTGTCGCATTTCTATACATTCAAATACACCATACCAACAAAATAACATAAGAGGATTTTTTTTCACCAAGATATTTTGTTAAGTTAGTTCCATGTTGTAGTGACCTGACTGGTTACCTCCGCTAATTCCTTTCTTCAGGAACTCTGGAACCATTAAAACAAACAAACATCCATTCCACCAGTAACCAGATGAAACATAGTCCTGGGAGTCAACTGAGGTTTATTGGAACACACACGACTTTTATGCCCAGTCCCCTACATGGGGTTTACAACACAAGAAAACAGGGGTTTCAATCCCAGGATCCTCTGTGCCTGAGAGATATTTGCGTGAGAACAAGTCTCTAATCTCATTATCTCTCAGGTACAGAAAATCCAACAACATATACAGTACACCAAAAGTGCCCCCACCATACTTAGGAACCCCACAGAAAGTACACTCCCCAATAGCCCCGATTGAGTGTACAACATATCCAAGAATCATTCGGATCAGTTTGGTGAAATGGCAATGCCATCAAGGTAAAGTTTTGACCGGCCAGACACGAGGCGATAGCCCAAAACGGTTCCAGGAAAAAAGGTGCTATGGCCGGTCTCCGTTCGTGAGGTTCCTGTGTAAACATCAAGCAGGGGAATCATTTCATTTAAGGATATGAATGTTCAGTACTTCATATCTCTCGAACGTTGTTCGTGTAGGTGGTCTGGAAAAAGAATGGGCAGCGGTTTAAGTTTTACCAGGGCTTGCAAAAGTGCCTAACTGAAAAGAGTTCTAGGCACTCAACGACCAGGTCCCGCTGCCCACGTTCGGGAGACAAGATGGGCGCCATTCGTTTGTCTGCCACGTGTTCGGCCATCCAGGGAAGCATTCATTAATTACTTCCCTTGTGGTTTCGCACTTAACCTCTTCCCGACCACGGACATATCAGGTACGTCCAACAAAAAATGGTCCTTAAGGACCACGGACGTACCTGATACATCCGCGGCTGATTAGAGCGCTGGAAGCGATCATGATCGCTTCCAACCACTCTAACGGTATTGCAGCGATGTCTCTATGTCGAGGCATCGTGCGCTACCTCGATGTGGAGGTATCGTGTGATACCCCCTTTCACTGCCGGGACGCCAGGTGATCGCTCCCCCAGAGTGATCACTTCCGGGTTGCCCCACGTTGCGCCTGGCAGTGAGGCAGAGCATTGGAAGCCATCAGGCAGGCTTCCGATGCTCTGCCTGTGCTGAGTGCCTCGAGGGATCGAAGCACTCAGTGAAGATTTAAATAATAATAAAAAATAATTTTTTTTTTTTTTTTAACCCTTTAACCTCTCTACCATGTACTTACCAATCGCCGATGTTCCCACGCCATGGTCTTGGGGGGACTGTCTGACAGCCCAGACAGTCCCCCCTCTGCAAATTAATACCCCCAAGGGCCATGTGCCCATGTGGTCACATAGCTGCAATAGGTGTCCATAGTGCTGCCACCAGGGGGACTGCCTGAACTGACAGGCAGTCGCCCTGCTGGTGAAAAAAGTAAAAAAAAAGAAAAGGTTAACAAAATAAAAAAGTTAATAAAAAAATTTCAAAAATATCTATATATAATATGTATATATATATACAGTGGGACCTCGGTTTACAAACGGCTCGGTTATAATTTTCGGTTTACAAATGAAAATCCATTGAAAATAATGCCTCAGTTTACAAAGATTTTTCGCAATGCAAAGCAAGTTTCCCCAGGAAGCATTGCACCTGGGAGGTTTATAGCACCGCCCCTGCATGCTAGAGCCTGTGGGTAGCACGTGGCGTCGAGTGTGGAGGTGTTGGAGTGGCTTTTGCATCGAGTTTTGGAGCCATTCTGGAAATTGTTTGCAGTTGTTTTGGGACTTTTTGATGCATTTCTCAAGCTGGGGAAAGGTAGGGAGAAAGGTAGGGAGCTTCGCTTCGCTGTTTGCATGCCTTTTACTGTGTGTTCTGCATTGTGTGTTGGTTTCCATGCCAGCTCATTTTGACTTTTTTTTTTTTTACCTCTAGAACGTATTAATTGGTTTTCAATGCATTCCTATGGGAAAACACGTTTCGGTTTACAAATGTTTCGCAATAAGAAATGTCCCAGAGAACGCATTACATTCGTAAACCGAGGTCCCACTGTATATATATATTTTATATAACGTCATACTAAGTATATTTTTTATTACTATATACATATATTCATATAAAAATACATTTAGAGTAAAATTACACACATATATATATATATATATATATATATCTATATATACACACACACACAATAAATAATAATAAATAAAAAATAAATAATAATTAATTAAAAATAAATAGATTTAAAAAATAATTTAAAAAAATTATATATATATATATATATATATATATATATATGTAATTTTATTCTAACGGTATTTTGATATATATATATATATATATATATATATATATATATAAAAATCTAAATACTTATAATGAATATATATATATATATATATATATATGTATGTATAAATAAATAAATAAATAAATGAAAATAAGAAATACACAAAAGTCCATATACATAATTACATAAATAATTTCATAAATATACCAGTAGACTTCAAACATATAAATATTTATAAAATCTACGTGCATATTTATGTAATATTTGTACATAATTAAGTAATTTTATTGATAACAATTTGGGGAATCTGCCTGATAACCCACACCGAAAGTCCAGAGAATTTAATTTGCTAGCACTATATTTTTCACACACAAACAGCACTTTCACTGATGATATCATTGTTGTAATACTAATGTTTGTGTTCAGTGAAGTCTCCCGAGTATAACTGTACAGGTTTTATAGTGTTTTTGAAAGTTACAGGGTCAAATACAAGGTAGTTTTTTCACATTGAAATTTGTCAGATTGGTTATGCTGCCTTTGAGAGTGTATGGTAGCCAAGGAATGAGAATTACCTCCATGACAGCATACCATTTGCACAAGACAACCCAAGGTATTGCAAATGGGGTATGTTCAGACTTTTTTAGTAGCCACTTAGTCACAAACACTGGCCAAAGTTAGCATTTATAATGTTTTTTTTTTTTTTTTTTGCATTTTTTTAACACAAAAACAAATTTAAATGCTAACTTTGGCCAGTGTTTGTGACTACTAAAAAAGACTGGACATACCCCATATTGAATACCATGGGTTTTCTACCTTTCAAAAATATATGGTTTGATGGGGGTAAATTACATTGGCTGGCTTCAAAAATGTCCCAAATAGGACATGGGTGCATGATGACCAACTGTGAAAATTTCAAATTTGAAAACTGGAATGTGTACCCTCCAAATAAGGTATTTTAGCCCCAGAGAACCTGACACACTTATACATGGGTGGTATCACTGTACTCAGGAGATGTTGCTGAACACATATTGGAGTGTTCTTTGGCAGCACCGCTTAAAGTTCTCAGTACATGTATTCTTAAATTGCTATGTGTGTCAAAAAAATCACCAATTATTATAATTGTTTTTAAATTTTGCATAGATTGGTGGTAAAATGGTTGTATGAAAAAAGTAAAAATACTTTAGGTTGTCTTCCTTTAAAAAATATATACATGTGAAGGGTTATTCAGGGATACCTGACAGATATCAGTGTTACAATGTAACTTGCGTACATTTTGAAAAAAAAAATGGTTTGGAAATAGCAAAGTGCTGCTTGTACTTATAGCCCTACAACTTTCCAGAGAACATGTTAACATTGGGTATTTCTAAACTCAGGACAAAATGTAGAAACAATTTAGCATGGGTGTTTTTTGGCGGTTGTACATGCGTACCAGAATTTGGAGGTGAAAGTTTGAAAAAGTATGTTTTTTTTTAAATCATATTTTATATATAATATATGATATGATGAAAATAATGGTATCTTTAGAATGACCATTTTATGGCGAGAAAAATGGTATATAATATGTGTGGGTACAGTAAATGAGTAAGAGGAAAGTTACAGCTAAACACAAACTCCGCAGAAATGTAAAAACAGCCCTGGTCCCAAACAGTAATAAAATTGAAAAGCGGTCTGGTCACTAAGGGGTTAAAGGAGCACTAAAGGGTCAGGAACACAAACATATATTTCTGACTCTATAGTGTTAAAACCAACATCGAGCCTCCCTTGCCCCCTCTTGCCTCAATAAACATAGTAAACTCTTACTTGTAGTCAAGCCTGAAGCTGCTGGCTCTGCACCTGTCTACCTCAGAAATGCAAGCAGTATGCTGACATCATCAGAAGTGTTGTTCTGAGCCAATCACAATGCTTCCCCATAGGATTGGCTGAGACTGTCAAGGAGGCAGATCAGGGGCAGAGCCAACACAAGTCAAACACAGCCCTGACCAATCAGCATCTCTTCATAGAGATTAATTGAATCAATGCACCTCTATGAGGAAAGTTAAGTGTCTGCATGCAGAGGGTGGAGATACTGATCTGTTGTGATGCAAACTAGGCAAGACTGAGATAGGAAGCAGCTCTAGTAGACATCTAAGGAGTGGCAGTTAAGTTATCACTAGGCTGTAATATAAACCCTGCATTTTCTCTGAAAAGACAGTGTTTACAGCAAAAAGCCTGAAGGTAATGATTCTACTCACCAGGACAAATACAATAAGCTGTAGTTGTTCTGGTGACTACAGCGTCCCTTTAAGTTACTGGTGTAAACATTCTAATGGGGTACAGGGGTGGTCCCCATTCAGGAGACAAATGGACTTTGTTTATATGAAGTACTCCAGAAAGGAAAAAGGGTAAAACACACAAAATACAGAGCACACAGATGAATGAGTAGTAGTTCTCCCACACATGTTTTTACACAACAAGACTCATTTAATTTGGCCCCGGCCTTCCTGCTGACCATCACAACACCCTTTCCGGTTTTCTCTGGGGGTAAACAACTTCTTCTCGACTCACTACGTATTTTATTTTCTTTGTTTTGGATCATTTTAGCTTAAACTGAACATTTATTTTGCTAATAAAAGATCATTGAATTTAACAAACAAATGGGTAGCTTTAGTACAACTTCTTGCTATTATACATCCAACTTAAACAGAAACATGTTTACCACAATTAAGTTTAGTGTGCAATAGGCATTTGTGATGGACAGACTGTCATTGGTTTCGAATCTTACCATGTCCTTCCTATTCTTGACACCACCTCTCTATTATTCTCTTTGCACAGGTGATCCTTTTATTGATACAGAACCAGATGATTCGAAAAGGATACGTACAGCATACACTAGATCTCAACTACTGGAACTGGAGAAAGAGTTCCTATTCAATCGATACATTACCAGGCCCCGTAGAGTCGAACTTGCTGCCCTTTTGTGTTTGACAGAGAGACATATAAAGATTTGGTTCCAGAACAGGAGGATGAAGTGGAAGAAAGAAGAAGCCCAACGATTAAGAAAAGAAATGACAGCATCAAGGCACAAGAAAGTTTGTTTAACACAACAGTGAAGTCTTATACACCATATATATATATATATACATATATATTCAAAAGCTAATTATTTATTTGTGTGTGGTAGTCCTTGCATCAACTGTGCAGGAATTCTGGTTCTTGCTTTCAAATCTTTACATAATGTTGCTCCCACCTATTTATCCTCCCTAATACAGAAATATGTCCCGTCTAGTCCCCTAGGCTCTGCCGAAGACCTGCGTCTATTCTCTGTCCGTACTCCCACCTCTGATGCTCGCCTTCAAGACTTCTCTAGGGCTGCACCGTTCCTGTGGAACTCCCTCCCCTTTTCGGTTAGATGCTCACCCAGTCTCCACTACTTCAAAAAATAATTAAAAACTCACTTTTTCACAAAAACATATCATCTAAACTGTTATTGGCTCAAAAAAAAACCCATTGAATACTATTCTAACAATCTACTTCCCTAATACTTGCCTTACCTTTTGTGTCACTTTACCCCACTCCCTCTAGCATGAAGCTCATTGAGCAGAGCCCTCAACCCAGGGCCGGCGCTTCCTGTAAGGTGACCTACGCAGCCGTCTAGGGCACCACATAGGAGGGGGCACCCTGCGCTCTCATTGCTGGCCCCTCTCATGCTGCAGCCATCTGAGCGCTCTATAAAGAGCCTCAGGTGGCTACAGCACTGCCAAGGCCGGCACGTCCATTAGGGCGCACCAGCCTGGGTGCACAAGTATGAGGGATCATCAGGAGGGAAGCACTCCCTCCTGTCAATCCCTCAGTGTAGCATGGCCGAGCTCCTCTCTGGTCTGCGGTACAGGAACATCCGTTTCCTGTACCTGGCCGGACAGAAGAGGAGCTCAACCATGCTACACAGGGTAGGGGGAGGGGAGGGTCAGGAGAAAGTGGGTGGGAGGGTGAGGAGAATGTGGGTGGGGGTGAGGAGAATATAAGTGGGGCAGAGTCCACTAAGGGAGAGGGGGAGAGGAGAATTTACATACAAAGAAACACAACATGCTTCCCTTACACACAGAGAAACACACAATGCATCCATTACACACACACACACACACACACACAATGCAACCCTTACACACAAAGACAATACATCCTTTGCACACATACACAGAACTCACAATGCATCCCTTGCACACACATGCAAACACACACTGCTTCTCTTACACACACACAGAAACACAATGCATCTCTTACACACACTCAATGCACCCCTTATAGACACACACACACTGCATCCCTTACAAACACAGAAACACACTTTGCATCCCTTATGCATACAAACACAGATTCACACAATGCGTCCCTTACACACAACCAGAAACACACAATACATCCCTTACAAACAAACACTGCTTTCTATCCCTTACACAAAAATACACTGCATCCACTACACATATACTGCATCACCTACACAAACTGGTATCCCTATACACTATATTCCATAAGCACACACATTAGATCCTCCACAAGGAGCCCCAAAAAATGGAGCTGCTTCCCGTTCTCCCAGAACATTGAATTTTGTGACCACAGTTACAAACAACCTCCAGAGAGCCTGTTCTACACCAGACCAGTGAAGCCAGACTGCAGCTAGAGCCCATCACCATCCTCATCTGATTGTAAGTAGGCAATCTAGTATATTATTAGTGACACTAATCTCTAATTTACCTCACATTAAAAGGACTCTATAGTCCCCAGAACCACTGTAGCTTAATATAATGATTCTGGTGTCTGTAGCCTGTCCGTGCAGGCTTTTCAATGTAAACACATACTGTGTGCAGCACTGGCATTAGTTCATATGGCAGATCATATGGGTGGGGCATTGTGATGTCACATGGGGGGGCAGGCGGGACGGCAAATTTTTATTTAATTTTGCCTCGGACGGCAAAAATCCTTGCACCGGCCCTGCCTCAAGCCCTCTGTTTCTGTGCGTCAAACTTGTCTGGTTACAATTACATGTTTGTTAGTCCAACCATTGTAAAGCGCTATGGAATTTGTTGGCGCTATATAAATATAATAATAATAATATACATTTTGAAAACCAACTGGTACAGTATAATGAAATTCGTCTTATTTTCCTAATCCTTTTTCTACTCAAAATTTGTGAACTGTCATGTTTGTAAATAAAGGAGCTAGAGTTCCCTAATTTTCAGTAACAGGAGTGGATCCACTTCTAGCATGGTTCAAGAAAAGAAAAGTATCTGCAGAAATTATAATCCAAAAATAGGCATAGTCTGCCATGCAGGATTTGTAATTAGGAATTATTACAACTTCCCTGCAAGAATATATGCTATTTTAACTTAATATTTTGAGTTAATAATAAAACATTAGGCCAGAGTCTAGGTTGTTAATGGGCCCAGTATGGCTGAAGGGAGTAGGATGTGGAATTCTTACCAAGAAAGAGATATGGAATAGTTTGTAGCACATTGACAACTGATGTTGGCTATCAAGCTTGGCATACCCTCATGCCACTATAGCCTGCACTTGGTTGTTGGAAGCCTAGTGCCCACTCCTAATTAGGGGACCTAAAACTGTGTAACATGACTCCGTGTATATTAGATGGATTTACTATGTAAATATGTCTTATCTAGAACAACTTTGTATGCACTAGACAAGTACAAGGCTATAAAACACACCTGGACTAATATACTGTATAGAAACTATTGAAAGAATCGAAGAAAGCCATTAGACTTTTATTTAAAGGAACACTATAGTTACCCAAATTACTTTAGCTAAATAAAGCAGTTTTGGTGTATAGATCATTCCCCTGCAATTTCACTGCTCAATTCACTGTCATTTAGGAGTTAAATCACTTTGTTTCTGTTTATGCAGCCCTAGCCACACCTCCCCTGGCTATGATTGACAGAGCCTGCATGAAAAAAACAACTGATTTCACTTTCAAACAGATGTGATTTACCTTAAATAATTGTATCTCAGTCTCTAAATTGAACTTATATCACATACAGGAGGCTCTTGCAGGGTCTAGCAAGCTATTAACTTAGCAGGGGATAAGAAACTCTTAATTAAACAGAACGTGCAATAAAGAAAGCCTAAATAAGGCTCTCTTTACAGGAAGTGTTTATGGAAGGCTGTGCAAGTCACATGCAGGGAGGTGTGACTAGGGTTCATAAACAAAGTGATTTAACTCCGAAATGGCAGAGGATTGAGCAGTGAGGCTGCAGGGGCATGTTCTATACACCAAAACTGCTTCATTAAGCTAAAGTTGTTTAGGTGACTATAGTGTCCCTTTAATATTATATTTAGGTTACGTGAAAAGTGTAACGATATGGAATGTTCAAAAGAATTTTAGAATGTAATACATAGTTACAATTCAAGAAACACTTGTTAAAAAGTTAAGTACATGTCAGAGTTATGTCTTAACAGATTTTTGCGCGTAAAAAGACAGCTTTGTGAATCCATATTTTGCATTTAAAGTGTAGAGAGCCAGACACTTATTGATTATTTGGTTCATATATCAGCTTGTATTTGTGGTATTTTCTTTCTTTTTGCATTGTAAATAAATCTACTTTTTCTATATTCAGTGTATTGTTAAACTTTTGTTGTAAATGTGAATGATATGACATCTAGCATAATAAAGTATGTATAGGTGTGTGACATCTTTTAAAACAGCACTTTGCAAACTTTGTTTTTAAAGTTATCTTTTTGTTATTTTATTTCCTCTGTTTATTTATTTATTTTTTAAATTCACTTTAACTTTCTAGTTATACATAAGATAAGGTAGCGATTATTATTTCCTTGTTATGATGAGCATGATCTTTGGCAATGTCTGGCAATGGGAGGGACTGAAGCAAAGTTAATTTAAGCTAATTTATCAATAACTCATAATTTAAAAAGAATCCCTCAGAAGGGGAAACTGCAGATATCATGGATAGAGGAGAACAAAATGGTGGTGCGAGATAGCATATTAAGATGAGGCACAAGAAAGACAAGATTACAAATATAAATAAAGGAAAGAGGTATGGCAAAGTGTAATAATTAAGATACAAGGAAGGAAAGGAACATTGAAAGAAAAAAAAAACATGACAGATCTGCTTTAACAGGCATATCAGGCAGGCCATGTCACGATTATTGCTAGAGATAATGCAATATTGTGCAATATTTGGAGAAAACAATAGTTTTAACAGTCAATGAAAGCACTTTACATTATCTTTTTGGGCACAGACGGTGAGGCCATACACCATGGATTTAACGTGATAATAATGATAACTGAAATATAATAATAATGAAAGGCATTTACAATATATATATATATATAGAGAGAGAGAGAGCAATAACCTCCTATGACAATTGAGAAGAAGTCCACATATGTTGAATCTCCTTAAATGGGATGATAGTGGGTTGGCAGCAATTTAGTAGACTTATAGAGAACAATATGGTAGGAGGTCACTTAGGGGCTGAACTGAGCAGCCTGGTAGATCCAAGTAGGGATAAGTTGCTCAGGTCATCCACTAGAGGCAGCAGAGACACTTGGACAAATTCAGGCCAGGTAGAATGAGATGGTATGTGGCAATGGAGTTAAGAGGCAATTGTTACAAAGTCTGTGAGTGAACAGGGTCTTTAGAGTGAGTGAGTAGCAATAAGTAATGATGGAGTTTTATTGTAAGTGAGGACTTGGCTGGAGAGTAAAAAAAAAAACAATATAATTGCTGAGTGGATAATCCGAGTGAGCGATTGAGAATTGTTCGCTAAGACCTGATAACAGGGATGGGGAACAGTTGTAACTTGAGATGATTGTTTATTCCAAATGACTGTTTAGGAGATTATTAAAGAATACTTCTCACTGGTTATCTGGCTTCCACAGCTTTTCAGATCTTCATATTACAAATAAAATAGTCTAACATATCTATAGGGGTCTATGTAACTTCTTATAAGTAATTAAAGCCAGGTACCATGAGGGAAAAAAGTAATTGATTCCCTGCTGATTTTGAACGTTTGCCCACTGACAAAGAAATGATCAGTCTATAATTTTAATGGTACCTTTATCTTAACAATGAGAGACAGAATAACAAAAAAAAAAAAAAGAAATCTAGGAAAACGCATGTCAAAGAAGTTATAAACTGATTTGCATGACAATGAGTGAAATAAGTATTTAGTCCCCTATCAATCAGCAAGATGTCTGGCCAGGTGTCTTTAATCAGGCAACGAGCTGAGATTAGGAGCAATCTCTTAAAGGGAGTGCTCCTAATCTCAGCTCGTTATCTGTATAAAAGACACCTGTCCACAGAAGCAATCAATCAGATTCTAAACTCTCCACCATGGCCAAGACCAAAGAGCTGTCCAAGGATGTCAGGAACAAGATTGTAGACCTACACAACACTGGAATGGGCTACAAGACCATTGCCAAGCAGCTGGGTGAGAAGGTGACAACAGTTAGTGCGATTATGTGCAAATGGAAGAAACGCAAAATAACTGTTAGCCTCCCTCGGTCTGGTGCTTCATGCAAGATCTCACCTCGTGGAGTTTTATGATCATGAGAATGGTGAGGAATCAGCCCAGAACTACACGGGAGGCTCTTGTTAATGATCTCAAGGCAGCTGGGACCACAGTCCCCAAGAAAACAATCGGTAACACACTCTGCACCGCCCGCAAGGTCCCCCTGCTCAAGAAAGCACATGTACAGGACCGTCTGAAGTTTGCCAATGAACATCTGAATGATTTACAGGAGAACTGGGTGAGAGTGTTGTGGTCAGATGAGACCAAAATTAAGCTTTTTGGCATCAACTCAACTCGCCGTGTTTGGAGGAGGAGGAATGCTGCCTATGACCCCAAGAACACCATCCCCACGGTCAAACATGGATGTGAAAACATTATGCTTTGGTGGTGTTTTTCTGCTTAGGGGACAGGACAACTGCACCGCATCAAAGGGACGATGGACGGGGCCATGTACCATCAAATCTTGGGTGAGAACCTCCTTCCTTCAGCCAGGACACTGAAAATAGGTCGTGGATGAGTATTCCAGCATGACAATGACCCAAAACACACAGCCAAGGCAACAAAGGAATGGCTCAAGAAGAAGCACATTAAGGTCCTAAAGTGGCGTAGCCAGTCTCCAGACCTTAATCCCCTAGAAAATCTGTGGATGGAGCTGAAGGTTCAGATTGGCAAACAGCAGCCTTTAAACCTTAATGACTTGGAGAGGATCTGCAAAGAGGAGTGGGACAAAATCCCTCCTGAGATGTTTGCAAACCTGGTGGCCAACTACAAGAAACATCTGACCTCTGTGATTGCCAACAAGGGTTTTTGCCACCAAGTACTTTTTCTGGATTTTTCTGTTTGTTATTCTGTCTCTCACTGTTAAAATACACCTACCATTAAAATTATAGACTGATCATTTCTTTGTCAGTGGGCAAACGTTCAAAATCACCAGGGGATACGTTTTACCCTCACTGTATTATAAGACACCTTAAAATAAATTTGGTTGTGTAACATTTGTCGCCAGCTCCATCTTTACTTTAATGTCTATTATGATAGATACATATAGACACATGTTTTAATTTTTCTAAATCTAGTTTTGTTTAATATCTTTCACATTGTGTTCTATTTATGAAAGCAACATTTAGAACACATTTAGGGTGATTATTAGCTCTTTGTATCCCACAGTTTCTAGGAACATTTCCAAATCGAACATCTGTGAGACATGTTTGAGCACAGAGCTCCTGTATCCTATACTTGCTCACTTTAATTGATATAGCAAAAGTGGGGCTTATTCACTAATTAGTAAAATTGTGATAAACGTTAAAATAAATGTGTTACATGTAGGCCAAAATAACACATTTTGGGACTGTAGTAGAGTTTGGAAATTTTAGTCAGCTATTTTGGGCTAAATATTGAAAAAGTGTGTTGTGTTTTTCTTCAAATTCCCATGGTTCACTGTATACTGAATAAAACCACAGTGACCCTGCATGATAGCTAACTCCATATTCCATGTGACTATGACAAACTCCAGAACTGACAATTATATAGGGCAAACACCTTCCCGGGAAAATGCTGGAATGTGATCACATTTTAACAATTTATGGAAAATATGAACCATTAAAACTAAATACATAATTATATGATCCAATTTTAAACCCTGAATGGTGCTTACAATTTTTTTTAAAAAAAAGATAAGCAACCCAAGGATTTTAAATACAATACTTTTTTGCCAATAAATAAATAAATAGAATTGTTAAGGGCAAACATTTCAAAGGAAGTGACTTTCTAAAGGTCTTCAGACACAAATGTAATTACTGTAATATGGAAGTACTTAGACTGGCTGCATCTGGAAGGAAGAAGTCATGCCTCTAAGCACTTATCATGATGACATACCCTCAATCTCCTACTCACACACAACTGAAAACTAATCTTTTTCATTGTTTTGTGAGATGAAAGTCTTATCTAGCACTTGCTACTAGCTACATCAGAGATCAGACCCTGCGACAATGCTCCATTGCATATATTTCTCTCTATACAAACTGTAAAGGAGTTTAAGCATGCGTGGGATAGGCATAAGGCTATCCTAACTATAAGATAAGACTAGGGACTAATGTAAGTATTTAGAAAATTGGGCAGACTAGATGGGCCGAATGGTTCTTATATGCCGTCACATTCTATGTTTCTATGTTTCTATGTTTCTATGTCCGATAGTTCTATGTATAAGTATAATCTCTATGTTTTGAGCCAGGTGTCCATTTCTTAGATATTTTGTTCTGCAGATATAATTAATGACAACATATAGACTGCAAGCCTGGTTGTGGATGTGAAAATCACAGAGTTCCTGAGCATGAAGTTGCAAGATTTCATTCTCCAATTCTTTAGTTTCAGTTAATGCCCAGGCCTCTTGGAATTACACCAGTAAAAAAAATACAAATTCATAGCTTTGTCATGCTCTCAAATGAATCAATGTTTTCAGGCAATATTAATAACATTTCCCACATAGTAAAATCCCTAATGTATTTCAGATATAATGAAGATTACTCCTACACCCACTTTATAGGTGTAAGCTTTGTGTGACTGGCTGGATTCACTTAGTCAATCATATTACTCTTCTGTTTTCATCCATTGGTTCTTCATCCGACTGGTAAATTCACTTTTTACCAGTTTTTGCCACACAACCATTTTTGTAATGGTGACCGATGGATGGGGCATTTCCCAATACTGAAGCTCATTTCTTGATGATAGAAGTACCATTATCATAAGGATTCTCCTAATTAATAGATGCCCAGCAGGACCTGCCTTTTTTATAATTTGTAAATCCTATTTTTCTTAAAGCAATTAATGGTAATTTCATTGTTTAATGGGTCACTCCAGAGTCAGACCTCTAAAGCACTTTAGCTTGCTAAAAAGCTTTATGTGTGCAGAGTGTGTCCTATTATTTTCATACTTTTTTTTTTTTTAAGTGCAGATTTCAATAGAATTTACACTTTTATAAATTAGAATGGTTAACCCCCCAGGCAGTTGATCAGATAAGTGGTCCTTTTACTTCCTGGTTTGGTTAGCTCAGTTGAGATAAACTAAAGAGGCAGTAATTGCTCAGAGCACCTGCCTTAGAAAGATTACTCATTGAGCTGCATTGGTAAGTCTGTGATTGGGCAGCTGTAGAAAGTCTGGGAGGGGTTAAAATGTGAGGTCTCGTAAAGACTGCAGAGAAAAGAACTGCAGGTTTTGCAAGAGGCTTTTAGATATAACCCCAATGAAAAAGATGCATTATTAAATGTGTGCAACTTTTCATTTGGGGTATATTTTTCTTACTGTGTTTGGTCCCTTTAACATTAAATTATTTTGAAACTTAACTACAATTTAGTTGTTTTTATTTCATTTGTACCATAGAGGATTGCCCAGAATGTATAGCCAAGCATTAGAAAAAATATTTACTGATAAAAGGGTCAAATGGCATAATGAACAGCTTCAAAGAAGGTGAAACCTTATGAGTAACATGACAAGGTCACCAAGGTCAGGGCCGGCCTTAGAGGTGTGCGAGCTGTGCGACCGCACAGGGCGCCATGGAACAGGGGGCGCCCTGTGGCCGACACAGCTCACTCATGGCCGGAGTGCAGGGGAGCTAAAAGAGGTACCTGGCTGGAGGATTAATTATTCTCCACCCGGGTCTATTAAAAAAATAAAAAAATAAAAAAAAATCGCGGCAGAGGGGGCGGGGTTTACCGAGCGGCGGAGGCGGGGCTTATCGAGAGGCGGAGACGGGGCTAATACCTCCCGAAGCCCCTGCTGTACAGGAAGAGGGAAAGATGCTTCCCCATCAGCCAACTGCATCCACTGGAAAGAGGTAAGTGTGTGTGTGTGACTGTTTGCCTGTTTGTGTGACTGTCTGTCTGTGTGTGTGTGTGACTGTCTGTGTGACTGCCTGCCTGTGTGCGTGTGACTGTCTGTGTGTGTGTGTGTGACTGTCTGTCTGTGTGACTGCCCATGTATGTGACTGCCTGTGTGTGTGACTGTCTGTGTGACTGCCTGTGTGTGTGAGACTGTCTGTCTGTGTGACTGTCTGTGTGTGTGACTGTCTGTCTGTGTGTGTGACTGCCTGTATGTGACTGCCTGCCTGCCTGTGTGTGTCTGTCTGTAACTGTCTGTGTGTGACTGCCTGCCTGTGTGTGTGACTTTCTATCTGTGTGACTGCCTGCCTGCCTGTGTGTGTATAACTGTCTATGTGTGTGTTACTGTGTGTCTGTGTGTGTGTGTGACTGCCTATGTGACTGTCTGTCTGTGTGTGTCGCTGTAGCTGTGCCATTGTTTGTGCCTGTGCCTGTATGTGTGACTGCCTTTAACTGAGTGTGTGTGTACATGCCTGTAACCGAGTTTAAATTTCCCCACCCCTTCCTGTCAAGGCCGCACTTTGACTGACAGACGCTCACTCACTGACAGACGCACACTCACTGACAGACACACACTCTCATATACACTGACAAACAATGACATACACACATACACTATTACTTGGACACACACTGACAGATGCACACTCTCACTGACAGACGCAAGCACTCACTGAAAGATGCACGACTCCACTGACCGACACATACACACTGACTGACACACACTCACTGACCGACACACACTCACTGACCGACACACACACTCACTGACCTACACACTCACTGACCGACACACACTCACTGACGACACATACACACTCACTGACAACACATACACACTCACTGACTGACACATACACACTCACACTCACTCACTGACCACACACACATTCACTCACAGACACACACACATTCACTTACAGACACACACAATTACACACTTACAGACACACACACACACACACATTCACTTCAAAATAAACACTCACAGACACACACACAGACATTTCCACTAACACTCACAAACTAATATTTTTTACATTTATTTTAAATCCACCCAGCCTCCCTGGGAAAGCTGGAGTGGATTTCTTACCAGCAGTCCAGTGTGGCTGCTGGGCAGGCAGGCAGGGGGCGCACAGGCTGAGTAAGCAGCGCTTAGTGATGCCGGGAGCCGGACTGACGTCATATTCTGGCTCCCGGCTTCATTAAGCGGCGCAGAGGAAGCTGAGCAGGAAGAGCTCAGGTGAGTATGCTCCTTCGCTGCCCGCTGCCAGCCTTGGGGGGGCTCAAAAGTGGCCAGCCGGTCAGCTCTTGAGCCCCCCAGGATGCGAGGCAAGCAAGGGATCTGCCTGGGGGTTTGGAGGGATGCTTTTTTTTGCCGCCCCCTGCAAAGTGGCGCCCAAGGCAGATGCCTTGTTTGCCTCGTGATACACACGTCCCCGGTGCCTGTGTGTGTTACTGTATTCAGGCAACTTGGTGGGAGGTGGGGGGGGGGCGCCGTGAAGACTTTTTGCACAGGGCGCCTAATTGCCTAAGGCCGGCCCTGACCAAGGTCATGCCAACATGACAAGGTCACCAAGGAAGAATCTTTCTGATTAGAATGGATGGGCCAGAAATCGCATCTGCTCACAAACAATTGAGTAATGTTATAGGCAGCTGGATTACATTACAAATTTGGTTGATAAACAGCAGTTTAGGCTTTGGGGATGCAAGTTGGACAAGATCACTGGAAATGACACTTAACATTGGCCTTACACGTTGGATTAGATACAAAGGTTTCCCGCAGTGTCAGATCACAAGTATGTGCTTCAATGCTAAATCAAAATGTATCATCTCCTCCCATTTTATATTAAAGGGACTCTGTCATTACCTTCCAAAGTAAGGAAACTATTATAACAATAAAGGGGGTGTTCGGAAAACACACAGAGTAAGACAAGCTAGTGGCAGCCCCCTCTCTGCAAGAAATACAATTAAAATTATCAATGTTTTATAGCATTTACATATTAATATTTTCATCCATCTAAATATACCTCATTATATAAACTGTATTGAATTTGCGTGCTAAGAAACCCCTATGTTTCAGATATGTATTAGTATTCCATGAATTGTGCTCTGATCTGGTAACAAACCCTTAATAACAGGAATCAGGCCAATACATAGGATACTCTATTCTAGTATTGCTGATGACCCCATGTATGCATCTTCGTGAACTGAGGTCTTTAATATGCCATAACGCACTGGGGTTTTCCAATATTTACACAAGTCGGGGTTTAAAGGTATCTTTGAATAACCACTGTATGAAGAATTACGTCAGATCATGTTCTCAATGCAAAAGGTATAAAAGCTAATAAAACCTTTCAAAGGTCATTCTAGACTAATATTTTGCTTATTTAAAAACTCCACCTTAAACAAATAGACTGCACTGTAAACTGGTGATGTAAAACACAAGCCAGTTTGTGATAGAGATTTTCTAACTGTGGTGGGCCACGTTCAACTCTGACCTAGTAATAGGGTGACCCAAACATTTCTTGCAATTCCCACAATAGCGCTAGATAGTTCAGACATAGACTATTTGAATACACATTGCCCTCCAGCACCCATCAAAAAAGGAGTTGATTGGCTGATGTTTAAGTTTTCTTATATGAACCTGTCTCCACGAGACATACTTTTGTGGCTGCTAGGACAACTGTATATTGGTGACAGAAAATTATTATTTGTCTTGATGGGTTTGCAATGCATTGCAGATAACCTGTTCTCTTAGTAGCAAGATCTCTCCTTGTGAATGTAAAATCTTTTTTTTTTTTTGACATTCTTTATTTTTGAAAAGTATTGGTGTGAATACACATAACATATCATTTAAAATCCTGGTAACAGTTACAATTTACACACACGAAAAAAGACCTGAGCTATATTTTTCCACCGAGGAAGAAAACATAATCGCTAGATCCCACAACTTTAACAAACAGTGGCAGTTTACGTGTTTGTACATACGACTGAACAACGTGCATGAAAAAGGTATACGAGTGGCGGGTAGGTTGTACACACCGGGGTGGGCAGCAACAGTTGGATAGCTTGTGTTATCCGGTGTGTGGGGGAAAGACCAGCAGCCAGACCCTTGCAGATAAGTAAGGCTAATGTTCCTGAGGGAGGTGAGGTGCGAGGGGCGAGACCCCGGGTGTGAACGTAAAATCTATCTCAAATAAAGAAAAATTGGAACACATATGATGGAGCTGGGTTCCTTTGGACAGTTTAGTGTGGCTTTCAAACTGGACAAAATGGAAGAAAGCAACAGGATGACCGAGTAACAGAAAAGGTGCAGTACAATGACCCACGTTTTAAGTTTGTGCCCAAATAGATGGAAGAGTGATGGGATACAAATTTACCTTATCTTACCCACAATATTCTTCATAAATTAAGAACACGGGTACCTCAGACCCAGCTTCTATTAAATGAAAGATGCTCAATAATCATTGTGGCCAGGGAGTAACCACAGTATTACCTTCCCATCCTTACCTTGGTGCTCTTTCAAAATGAAAAACAAAGTGCATCACCTTACTTTTCAATTAGTATTAAGTGGATAGTCAATACAGTATTAAATACCAGTCAAGCCATAAGACTTGCTTTTCCCACTGAAATCTCAAATGTGCAGTGATGTTACTACTGCAAGGGATTCTGGGTGGGTATATGCAAATTAGTTCATCAAGGAATCATATTGTTCCCTCATTATTCCATTTTAAACATGTATTCCTTTGAGTCTGAGTTTGCTGCATACAACAGCTTTGAAACACAACTCAGGAAGAGATGCACAGCCAGTGAACCACTCATGGACAGCTGTTTTGTTGTTAATGCAACTCATCAGCATGAGGTTGGTTACTGGCTTGCTATTGAGGCTTGGCATTACTTGCAAGGCACAAACCAAGCTCAATCAATATTAATTAATTCATTTTATTTTACATATTTGATTATTCTGGTACACAAGGTGTGGTTTGGAAAGCGGTTTTGTTGTGTGCTTGTTATGATTTTATCTTTGAGATTGAAACTGCAAGCTAACATTTTCTGTGGCAGCATGTTTCCTTGGGCAGAACACAAGGAATCCAGTATGTCATATTCATTTGTCCCCAGCCAAAAATATTCTAAAACAAAAAAAGCATTTTCTCAGTATGCTGTAATGAAAGGAACACCAGTGCTGGCTGTGTGTAATTTACACTGTTGTACGTATTCAGAGAGCATGGGGACCTCTGTCACTTTGTATCACCAAACAGAGAGATGGAGGACCCTCTGTTCCCCTAGCCCCAGCCTATCCTTATCAAAATGAGAGGGATGTTTGAATGAGAGTCTATGGTAATTTATAATTGGATGACACAGGAGGATTCTAGATTCTCTAGACAATAGGTATTACTATCATTCCAGATCATATGAGAGAAAGTAAAATGCTCCTACTATAGTATATGATCCTATCTTTCCTATCTATGAAAACTAGTGGTAGGGGATGTTTTTTAATGTGCCATAAAGTGTCTTTTAGGCCTGGGCTGAAGAAGAAGTTGACACTGAATAACAAACACTGCAATAAATGTATTTCTATCAGTAGTATTTCTTTCCTAGCGGAATGATATCATCTCTCTGTTACACTGCATCATAACGGGGAACTCTTTGTTTTGCAAAGTGTGTATGCTCATATCCATTTATTTTAAAAGATAATACAGGTTTATTTGCTCCTCCAGGCTCTCTTGATGATGTCACTGAAAATAATGAATGAACAAAGGTCCCTGTTTGTTCTCTGATCAGTGCGTGTCATACTGCTAGGACTCAATATATATATAAATATAACACACGTGCACACCCCAGTGGTAAAAAGTACCGTATATACTCGAGTATAAGTCGACCCGAATATAAGTCGAGACCCCTAATTTTACCCCCCAAAACTGGGAAAACGTATTGACTCGAGTATAAGACTAGGGTGGGAAATGCAGCAGCTACTGGTACATTTCTAAATAAAATTATATCCCCAAAAAATTATATTAATTGAATATTTATTTAAAGTGTGTGTATATAATGAATGCAGTGTGTGTGTGTGTGTGTGTATGAATGCATTGTGTGTGGGTATGAATGCAGTGTGCATGTGTATGAATGCAGTGTGTGTGTGTGTATGAATGCAGTGTGTGTCTGTGTATGAATGCAGTGTGTGTGTGTATGAGTGCAGTGTGTGTATGAATGCAGG